TAATTTTTCTTTGTTGCTTGCCGGCTGTTGGGGTACTGGGAAGGACAAAAACCCCAACAAGCCAGCCCTCATACTACAGGGTAGTTGAGATGGGGCAAGGACAGAGAGGGGGAGAGCGAGGAAGGAGATATCTTGATTGAGGGAGCCATCATGGGGCTAGTGAGAATCCTGGGGCTAGTGAGAATCCTGGCGCTAGGGAAATCCCCAGGAATCCACAAAGATGACCCCAGCTAAAGAGGGTGCCCTAACTGTCTTTCCCCTGCAATCAAATTGATGATTACTTTAATTTTCATTGTAGAGCCTTCATCTAGCAACTGATGGAAACAGATGCAGAGATACACAGCCACTGGCTGAGTGTTGAAGGCACCATGTTAGCCAAGCTCCAGTTGAAGAGAGGGAGGAGCGATAATATGAGCAAAGGTATCAAGACCATGATGGGGAAACCCACAGGACAGCTCACCTGAGCTAATCGGACTCTGGACTGACAGCAGGGGAACTAACAGGACCAAACTAGGCCCTTTGAATGTGGGTAACAGTTGTATGACTGGGGTAGACTGCGGGGCCACTGCAGTGGGACCAGGATTTATCCGTACTGCTTGTTCTGGCTTTTTGGGATACTATCCTCTTTGGAGGGATACCTTGCTCAGCCTAGATATAATGGGAGAGGGTTTTGCTCCTGCCTCAAAGTGATGTGGTAGACATTGTTGACTTCCTATGGGAAGCCTTACCTGCTCTGAGGAGTGGATGGGGAGGTGGGATGGGGGGGAGGTAGGGGGAGCAGGAGGAAGGAAGGGAGTGGGAACTGGAATTGGTATGTAAAATGAGAAAAGATTGTTTTTTTAAAAAAAAAATATAAGTAATTAGGGCTGGACGGTAGTGGTGTGTCCCATGCCCCGTCTCGCCAGCAAGAACCATGCGGGACACAGGATCCTTCTGCAGAAATAGCTTTAATGCCCCTTGGGAGAGCGAGCATCAGCCAACATGGCAGAGACTCAGATATGAAGGAACCCATCTCTTATATAGGAAAACAGTCCTTGCTTCGGATGTGTCACTCTTGGATAGGTCAACTGTCCATTATCCCAGATGATGTCTCAGGAGTAGGCGGGGATTGCAGTGGGAAATTACCGAGCACATGTGCGTTCACCTGGCGGTGAAGCCGGATGTCAGCGCCATCTTGTAATGGAGAATGTAGCTGCGGCCCTCTACAGTGGTGCATGCCTTTAATCCCAGCACTCAGGAGACAGAGGCAGGTGACTCTCTGTGAGTTCGAGGCCAGCCTGGTCTACATGAGCTAGTTCTGGGAGATCCTGTCTCGAAAAAAAAAAGTAACGAAAAACACATTAAAAACAGAAGAAAAAACACTTCAACTCACTTTACTATTTCTCCATTCTCTATACCCTTCAGGTTCGTAGTTCAACTCTGCTCCCATGAATCTGATTGGCTGAGATTTCTACAGCGTGTGAGAAGGTAGAGAATTGGGCCTGGGCAGGCCTGGCTGTTGTCACGCCATACATATTTCATCTGTGCTGTTGCAAATGAAAGAATTCACTCTCTTGGGTGTGGCATGGTAAGTGTGTGTGTGTGTGTGGGGGCATGTTTTAATGTAGGCACATGTTCACTGCCTGCTTTTGGATGGTGGCTTCCTCCAATTGAAACATTCTGTCCAGGAGGGATCAGGAAATCTTGTGAGCAAATGTCTGGGAGAACAGAGAATTAGAGTATTTCTGAGGGCCTCACTAGCAGTATAAGGAGTAAACAGCTGCTGGGTTTGGAGACCGGGAAACCCAGCTTCAGAGAGAAGAGATTCTCAGACTGTCAAGCAACCCTTTGTGAACATCGCCCGTGATGAGAAGGGCTTTGGTGGTGTGGCTGCTTTTGAGTTAGCCGTGCTCGTAAAGTGAGCCCTCCCCCATAACTCCTGTTAGTAACTCCAGTGAAAAGTCACTGCTTCACCAAGTCAGACTTTGGTCCAGTTGTTACTTTAGACGGTTGTGGGTTCCCTTTCTGAGGTCAGTAGATGTGTGTCTTGTTGGTTGTCTCCCCAGCAAATGTCTGGCTGGAGAGTTGTGAGACGCACCTCTTGACCAGCAAGCAGGGACGACCACAAAATCGAGAATCCTTCCCAAATCACAACTTTATTTGGAGCCTCTTGGTTGAAGGGGGAATGGGGGACGAAAGAGAGAGAGAGGGAGAGAGAGAGAGAGAGAGAAAGCAGAAAGCCAGAGAGAGCAGGAAGCAAGAGAGAAAAAAGCCCAAGCGGCAGCTGCTTTTCTAGGGTGGAGAGGCTCGGATACTGTCCTGATTGGTTAATACCATTCTGCTGGTGCCCAGGGCCTCGAGTTTGGCCAGGGGCAAGGTTAAGCAAAGGGTGCTCAGCCCCACCTGGCAACATCAAAGGATTTGTTTACCTCCAAGCTGCAGGACCACCTGTGCCATCTTATAATGGCGATTTCTTTCTTCAGGTGACTCCTTATAGAGGGTAATTTTCCACATCATTCTTCAGGCCATACATACAATTTTTTTCTTTAGCTAGGGTCTCTCCTTGGCCTGGGACCGCTCATGTAGGTGTGAGGCCTAGGGATCTGCCTGTCTCTATTTCCCTAGCCCTGTGCCAACATTTAAAAAATAGATTTATTTGTTTTATTTTATGTGTATGAATTTTCTGCTCACATGTATATCGGCGCACTGTGTGCATGCCTGGAGATCAGGAAGGAGGGTTTCCGTCCCCTGAAACTGGGGTTATGGATAGTTGTGAGTCACCATGCAGGTGCTGAACAAATGCTCTTAACTGCTGAACCATCTCTCCAGCCCCATGGGTAGCATTGTGTGTGTGTGTGTGTGTGTGTGTGTGTGTGTTCACTCTAGAGTTAGCAGGACCTGGGAGAATAGATCAATAAATGAAGCAGACTAAAGTCTCATGCAGTAGCCAGCTTTATTCAAACAAAGCATCAGACAATTTATACACTGAGGGTACAAAGAATCACATGAATAAAGTTCCAACGAGCTCAAGCTGTATACAATCACAAGAACAAGCCACATGTATTTCCATAGCGGCATATCAAGAATAGTTTAAACATTTAGTTGAATAACAGCAGCCAGCAAGAATAATCTGAAGTAAATGCACTCCTATCTGTCAACCTGGGAGAAGTAGGAAAACACATTCCAGGAACAATTCCATGTTTTGAAGGAACTCAGGTCACAAGACTCTTGTTTTCTTGGAGTGTTCTCATAAATACTCAGAATTCTCCTCACACTCCTGGACTGTGTTCAGGCTGTATGTGCGTGCGTGCGTATGAACTTGTATGTGGGTGTACACACATTCACATATATATGTACCGTATGGCGGTCAGAGATTGATTTTGGGTATCTTCAATGTCATATTTTTTGACACAGAATCACACACTGAATGAGGAGTCATGATTCACTTAGTCTGGCTGGCCAGCACCTGCTGGGGCTTCTGTTTCCCTGCCTGCCCAGGGGTAGGATTACAAGTTACCTCTCCAGGAGTTTTTATGTGAATTTGGGAGGTTGATTTCAGATCATAATGCTTAGGGGATGAGCACTTTACAGACAGAGACTTCTCCGTAGTCCCCTGACCCAGTATTTTGTACTAGGGTTCTGAGGATGGCATTAAGGTGCTTGTTCTTGCATGGCAAGTATTTTATAGATTTTTATCACTTCAGCAACTGAGCTATCATCACCTAGTCTCAGAATTTACTTCTTTTTGAAGGCTATCAAGTGTTCAATTGTGTATATATATGCAATTTTTTATCCACCCTTCAGTTGACAAATGATTAATTTTGCCATTTTGATAATGCTTAATTCATTCAGTATTGGCATGTATCTCTTCCTTCCAGTTACCAATTCTTAGCATTTTCATATGAAACATTTCTGGCTGGCAGCATAACTCAGTGATGAGCTCCTCCTATCTGACGTGTGACTGGATCTGTATTCTATTCATAAGACCCATAATGGAAGTAGAATTAACGTGTATATAATGTTGAAATCTTTTCCTTTTTTGAGTTTTCAATGACATAATTAGTAAGGGAAGTACTAATTTCCCCTCCAATCTGCATTGAGTTCCCTAGCCCATAAATACTCCAGCATTTACCTGTGCCCTTGTGTAGTTGTACTTTCTTGTTGGAACCGCCAGCTCACCGGAGACTTATTATTAATTATGAAAGCTCAGCCTTAGCTCAGGCTTGTTCCTAACTACTTTTTATAACTTAAATTAACCCATATTTTTTAGACTACTTTCTGACACACGGTTAGTTACCTAATCTCCCTACTGCCCATCCTGCTTCCTCTGTGTCTGACTAATGACTCAGCCTTTCTTCTCCCCAGAGTTCCCTCTCCACCTACACCTCCTGCTTAGCTATTGACCATCCAGCTTTTTATTACACCAGTCACAGACACATGTTCACACAGTGTACAAATATCCCACAACATTTTTGATTTTTTTCTCTCTCAAGCTGTTCAGCTGCCACATCTCTGGCTGTTCAGAGGAATTTTGATTTGATAGAACTCCATATATTAGTGTTTTCATTCATTTCTTTTGGATAAGGTCAAAAACTCATTACAAAGACCAGTGGTCTATAATTTTTTGATTATTTATATCTAGAATTTTTACATCGCAGTTCTTATATGAGACTATAACAAAGTATATTTGTTCATGTTTTTCATTGTTGTATTACTGTTGTATGTATTGTACTACTAAGGTGGTCTTCCTAAATTAAATTAGGAAAAGGTGTTTTTCTGCCATTATAGATTTCTTTTTTTAAGGTTTATTTACTATGTATACAGTGTTCTGCCTGCATATATGCCTGCATGCCAGAAGAGGGCACCATATGTCACTATAGATGGTTGTGAGCCACCATGTAGTTGCTGGGAATTGAACTCATGACCTTTGGAAGAGCAGGCAGTGATCTTAACCTCTGAGTCATCTCTCCAGTCCCACTATTATGGATTTCTTTGGTGGTTTGTACACAAAGTATTTAACACAAAATACCTGTTTTCATCCCCTGCAAATTTCTCTTTACAGTAGAACTTATACTCAATCCATCATCAAGGAAAAAGGGTATTGTCTATTTTCTGGTAATAAACTAAATGTGAAGTAAGCATCAGAAGGACAGACTAATTGGCAGAGAAAGCATATCAGGAATCAATATTTAGAAAACAATATAGCTTTGTCTTCACCCTTGGTAATGATCTCCCCTACCACAGAAGACATTGTCACTGTAAAAGCACATCAGAAATATGGTCAACCTTCATTTAAAGCAGCCTTTTAGAGACTGGTCTTGATAGTCGCCTGGAAAATGGCAGATAATTACATCTGCCTTTTACATCCTGTTGCCAACCTGGAAATGGTCAGAACATATTGTTAGGAATTTCATTAAGCTGCCTTCCTTTCATGCTGCCTTCCAGATCATTGTCCAGGCAAGTTACACAACAGATGCACAACAATAAAAGCAAAGAAATCCACTGAAACCGACATAGGGGTACAGTGGAGTAATCCAAACTCTCGGAAGGAGCAGGTCCTCATGGACTGCTAAAAAATGATCAGTTCAGTGAGGAGTGATAATGTGCAAAATTTAAAATAGAATAAATGAGACAGCATAAAAAGAGAAAAGCCAGGGAGTTACCAAAACAATAAAACTAAAGCAATTCCAAAGGGTTGTGGCATATGCCTGCTACTTCAGCCCTTGGATAGCTGTTTTGAGTTCAGCCCTAGGCTACAGCATGGATTCCAGGGTTGCTAGAGCGAAACAGTGAGCTGCTCTGTAGCACATATTCTCCTCCCAGTTCACATGCTTGCTTTGTGACGGATTGGCCACTCACTCAGTTCCAGAATCTGTCTGTGCTCATTAGGTATGCACTGAAAATCTGGTAGTAACCCAAACTTTGGGGATCAAACTGGCTGGAGATTAGTTAGGCTGGGATCCAGGTAGTGCGCCTCTTGGCACTTCCTGCCTGCTCTTGGAAGCATGCAGAGCTCTCACTAAAGCAGATACAGATAGAAAAATTATGAGGTTTCCCTGGCCAGTCAGTTTAGCCTAATTAACAAACTCCTGACCAATGAAAGATTCTGTTTCAAAGGATGTGAACAGCCTCGAGGATAGCACTGGGGTTTGCTTGTGTCCTCAGACACTGGTAAACCTGTTCACCCCCATGCACATGAACACCACCAACCCCCAGGCATTAAATTATAGCACCTACTTCTGATGGATCACAAGGACCTACAACCCAAGCTCCAGAGGATCGAATAACACATACACTCTCTAAAAAAAAACCCAAAAAGTCCCGTTAAAATGTTTTCTTGTTTATTTTTATGTCTTTGGGTAATTTGCCTGCATACCAACTTGTATACAATGCCCTTTGGACTCAGAAGAAGTTGCCTGATACGTGGGAGTCTGAATTATAGGATGTGTGAGCAACCAGAAGTAGTGCTGGGAATCAAACCCATGTCCTCTGGAAGAGCAGCCAGTGCTCTTAAATACTGAGCCATCTCTTCAGCCTCACCATTTTTTAAAGTAAGTTATTGAGTATTATCCTGAGTATGGTGATTAA